GCAATACTTCGTGGAGATCTACCCAACAATGACCCGACTCGTGTTACTTGGAGGCGGTGATTCTGAGATCTCTAAAACGCTTTAGTGTTGAAAAAAAATCTACTCTCTTAATGTCACAGACTCAAACTAAATAACCGATGAACACATGATGTTGCTTTTCTTAGGCAAAAGGTAATTGCGAGACTTATGATGTATGTGCGTGTGTGTATTTTCAGAATGGCTAGTTGGTACCATTGGAGAAGGGTTGCTGGCACGCACAATACCTTCACAGGTCAGGGGTCATAACCCAATTAGCAGATTAGAAAATGCACAGGTCGCGGGGTCAAAGTGGCAACGAAACGACTGGGAAGTAGGTTCTTCTTGCACTTAGAAGCTGCCATTACTGTTGGGAAGAGCCCAAGAGGCCCATAACCCACACACGTACCCACGACCCCGTCATCGCCCTTGTGCCTGGGGCACACAAGGGCTAGAATTAGCCTTAAGCTGATTAGGGCATCGGCGCATGGGGTATGAGGGGGAAAGGTGGGGGGGGGGGTGTTTGGCGAGGGGTGCGCAGGAGTAAGGGACTGGAAGTGATGGCAGTCGAGATCCAACACCATCCTGGAGGAGTTGCTTGCAGATGGACCTCTGGAGCGTTCACATCCACTCCCTCTACTCTCAGCTTCCACAGTGCTAACTTTTGTTGCACGTAGAAATACCGACAAATTTGCACCGGGTATTGTTCGCGAGTTATTGTGAGAATTAGCAACATATTGGACAACAGACGGGAGGACTCTGAAGAACGCGGCCAGCAACCATACCGGCCAGCCCTCATTATTGCAGTGCAACACTCCAGAAAATTTTGTATAGCATAAGTGACCAAGAACATGGTATGTTGGACGCTCTACGGAGTAAAGCCTCAGTTGCGGCATACTTACAGTAAGTTGATCGGTTCATTGAGCATCTGAATAAAAAAATTTCACTATAGGAAAATATCTAACGATTATCAAAATATAATAATCCTGGGAAGTTCTAAACTCGCCAGGGGTTAATGGAAAGTAATGTTTTAATCCAAATTTTTATTACAATCTTTTACAACGCTAAATCCACAAGGTCATACAGCTTTTTTTTAAAACCCAAAAAGGGGGAGGGCAGCAAAAATTTCCTTTGGGATCAAATCCTTCATCGCATCGGCCCCGCCCGGATGGGATTTAAAAACGAGCTTTTTATAATACTGGGACGAGGGACACAAATTTTTCCCTTTTATTTTTACCTTATGACCGGAAGGTTGTTTTTCCCCTGTTTTCCCCCAGCACGAGTTTACTGAGCACCCCCCTCTCACCCGTGAGTAACCTACCACCAAAATGCATCCAAAAGTTACATGACAACTCAAATACTACCTACAACTCAAAAATTTGCATGACTTTTAAATGGGTTTTACGTACCATTGCATATCAGTTGGGTTTTGAAAAAAAATCAAATGAAGTTAACTTTTTTTTCCCATAACTTGTAAGATTAGAGAGAAGGGCCAAAAAACATTTACCCAGGAACCTTTCCCTCCCCTTTATGAGAGGACGGAAACCCCGTCCCTGGGTTTGGGTTGCTGCCATAACCTACTCCCTTTTTATAAAGAACATAAGAAAAGGGAAAATGCGGGGGCCTGTTTGGGCCCCTACTAGGCAGGTCCTTTACAATTTATCCCCCAACAAAACATTTGCCCAACCCCAATTTTCCAATCCCCCCCAAAAAAAGCTCTTGATGTGAAAGCCCCTCAAAACCAACCCCCCCCACTCAGAATTTTCCAACCTAAATTTGAAACTCCCAAACCCACCTCAATAACCCAACAGGTAACGTTCCATCATCTACTACCCTATTTTTCCCAAACCAATACTTTCCCATGTCCTTTTTAAATTAAACTTATCTAATTAAATCCATTACTGCGGGGTTCTCTCATTGAAGAGACATCCTCAAGACCTTATTAATATCCCCTTTATTAATACCTATCTTCCACTTATACACTTCGATCAGGTCTCCCCTCATTCTTCGTCTAACAAGTAATGTAACTTAAGAGTCTTCAATCTTTCTTCATAAGGAAGATTTCTAATGCTATGTATTAATTTAGTCATCCTACGCTGAATGTTTTCTAACGAATTTATGTCCATTCTGTAATATGGAGACCAGAACTGAGCTGCATAATCTAGGTGAGGCCTTACTAATGATGTATAAAGCTGCAGTATGACCTCTGGACTTCTGTTGCTTACACTTCTTGATATAAATCCCAGTAATCTATTTGCCTTATTACGTACGCTTAGGCATTTCTGTCTTGGTTTAAGGTTGCTGCTCACCATAACCCCCAAGTCCTTTTCGCAATCTGTATGGCTAAGTTCTACATCATTTAACTTATAAGTACTAAGGTTATGGGCACTCCCAAGCTTCAGAACCTTGCATTTATCTACATTGAACTGCATCTGCCACTTTTCTGACCAAGAATAGAGTTTGTTGAAATCCTTTTGAAGTTCCATAACATCTACGTTTGAATCAATTATCCTACCTATCTTTGTGTCATCGGCGAATTTGCTCATATCACTAGTAATTCCCTCATCAAGATCATTGATATATATTATAAACAACAACGGGCCCAAGACTGATCCGTGTGGAACGCCACTTGTTACAGATCCCCACTCGGATTTAACCCCATTTATGGACACTCTCTGCTTCCTGTCAGTGAGCCATGACTCGATCCACGAGAGCACTTTTCCCCCAATGCCATGAGCTGCCACTTTCTTTAACAGTCTATGGTGAGGAACTCTTTCAAAAGCCTTACTAAAATCTAAGTAAATAATATCAAATTCTTTATCGTGGTCAACAGCCTCAAAAGCTTTACTGAAGAAAGTTAATAAATTAGTTAGACAAGACCGGCCTCTTTTGAATCCATGCTGAGTATCATTAATCAAGCTATGCTTATCGAGATGGCTTCTTATAATCTCAGTATAATTGACTCTAGTTCAGCCGTGACATGCCAGCTACAAGCAGCAACAGTCTGTCGCAAAAGATCCCCAAAATTAAACTCTGCGAGTGTCCTAAAACAAAAAAAGCAGCTTCACCTGGAAAATTGCATAAAAGTATAAACTAATTTGACTTAAGCAATATTATATAAAACTTATATGAAAAATGTCTAAAAATTTCTCATATAACGTTTAAAATAATAATATTGTTTAATTAAATTTAATAAACAATTTAACTTGGCTTATCGAATGTTCGTAAGATGTAATCAATTATATTTTAAAATTATATTATTCCTTCCTATGGAATATGCTCAAGTAGGAATAATTTTCTCTTGTCTCATAAGAACATAAGAAGGAACACTGCAGCAGGCCTACTGGCCCATGCGAGGTAGGTCCAAATCTGCTACCGGCTTAAGCCAGTGCCTTAACCTAGTCAGGTCAGGTCACATTCTCTTAAGGAAGGAGCACGGCATCTGACCCAGTAGCACAAGCCAGTCAGGTCAAACTCCCACCCACCCACACCAACTCATGTATTTATCTCACCCATTTTTAAAACTACGCAACGTCTTAGCTTCTGTGACTGTACTCGGGGGTTTGTTTCACTTATCCACAACTCTAAATGTAAAACGGACATCAGGAATTTTAAAGGCAAACAGACATCAATTGCAGAATTTCAAATGTATTATAACCTGAAATGAATTTGTTTAATGTAATCAGACGTAATTGAACGAGATTACCTAAACTGGGAGATTCCTCGAGTACTGTATTTTGATGGAAATATAAACAGTGTGTGGGTGAAACGTTGTCAATAAAGGATCACATTATACTGCACTTGTATTTATATTTCCATTGTGTCGGTATTTTATACCATTTATTTCCACTGTATTTTGATACACAGTCTATAAAATACCCGACTTAAAATGAAAAAAAAAAAAACTAAAACATGATTTATGTTATCTGAATAATTAATCCAGAGGCTTTGTCAATCCGCACTTGTGTTTTTCATAATGTCTGCAAACATGCTTGCATGAAGAATACTTATGTATAAATTAAGGAATGCTGTTTAAGAGATCTGGTAAAAAAACAAATGAACCCTAGATAACTTCAGAGGATTACCTTTTGTTTTATTTTAAGCTGCTTATTTTAACACTGAAGGTTTATTCTGGTTATATAACTAGTTTGCATGCATGTATTATAATTTTGATTATTCTTGGAGAAGTGATAAACCAGGAAGACATGCAGCTGCTAGGTAATGAGGTAGAGTCGATCCAATGACAGGATCTCTCCACTTCCTTGGGTCAAGAGTCCTGTACCTGGGTGTACAATCATGGAGAATGGGTAAATATGTGGATGTGGGATGTGTGTAGTATGAGTGAGAGTTATGGGTTATAGACATATCCAGGATCAGAGCTGTATTAATAGTTCTTAGCATGTTATATTTTCAATGTTTACAGAGGTTAAGGCATATACTACAGCCTCGTGGCTCCAGTTCCAGAATTCTACCAGAACGAAAAACTTTTCATTATCCTGTCGGTGTTGGATTTTTCGCAGTTTATAAATTTGGTCTTTTCTTCTCCTAGTGATGGTGCCGTTTTCATAACTTTTCTTCCTCGTATCTTTTTATATATTATTCCTATTTTGTCTCTTAGTATCAACAATTTCATTTTTAATGTCGGTATTTGTATTAACTTTTTTTTTTTTAGTTCTGGATGGTCAATGGTCACATGGAGTTGCTGTGTGTGTATGTGAGTTTGTGTGTTTTTATGGAGTGTGCACGAACATCTGAGCTGTGAATAAAATTGTGTGAAATTAGTTATCTTCTAATTGAGAGTCGGGCACAAGACAAGAGGTAGCTAACATTCTTGTGGTTACTGGAACAGCAACTTCCTGAATGTTCCTTCGTGTTGGGATAGATATGTATGTTCATATGATATCAATGCACAATTATATTTATTACGTAAACGTATAGACGATTATTATTTTGTGTGTGTGTTATAATTTTAATTGTTGTTGCAGGTGGCTACCATAGCGTGGAGAGCATGGGTGCTGTGAGTGAGCCCCCGTCAGAGGGTTCCCCTGGAGGTTTCATGCCCCAGCCCTACACCGAAGCTGACCCTGAGCCCTACCACACCCTGCCTGACTCCCACCACCCTGCTGTTCACTACCTCGACCCCTCCACACACGACTTCTACAGTCTCCACGACAAGTATCGTCTGTCCTATTTCAAGTACCCTCAGCCCACTCCCACCCACAGGTACACGCACGAGTACCCTGATGGCTATTCTACGCCACACTACGACCCACAGTTCCAGACCGTACCACAAGCGCTACCAGAGCCATGGGCGAGCGCGGCGGCACAAGGACATGACCTCTCACAGATTAACAGTGGCGTCGGTGGGCCAAATTTGGCTCACTACCTACCCACTCGCCCAGATGTGGTGACTCCAGACACTAAGCCGCCTCCTGGCCTCCTGGGTCCCAGCTCTGCGACGCTGGGATACCAGACAGGTAATGGTGGCCCTTGTTTCACCGGTTCTGGACCTATCCAGCTGTGGCAGTTCCTCTTGGAGCTACTCACAGACAAGAAGCAGCAGCAGCACATCTCTTGGACAGGTGATGGCTGGGAGTTTAAATTAACGACCCT